AGGAGGAGGAGGAAGGAGGAGGAGGAGGAGGAGGAGGAGGAGGAGGAGGAGGAGGAGGACGGGGAGGACGGGGAGGACGGGGAGGACGGGGATGACGAGGAGGACGGGGAGGACGGGGAGGACGAGGAAGACGAGGAGGAGGAGGAGGAGGAGGCGGAGGAGGCGGTGGAAGAGGAGGAGGAGGAGGATGAGGAGGAGGACGAGGAGGGCGAGGAGGACGAGGAGGACGAGGAGGAGGACGAGGAGGACGAGGACGAGGACGAAGACAGGAGGAGGAGGAGGAGGAAGAGGAGGAGGAAGAGGAGGAAGAGCAGCAGGAGGAGGAGGAGCAAGACGAGGAAACGGAAGGCGAGGATGAGGTGGACGAGGAGTAGAAGAGTGAGAATGAGGAAGAAGGGGAGGGGGGAGGAAGAGGAGGAGGAGGAGGAGGAGGAGGAGGAGGAAAAGGAGGAAGAGGGCTCTCTTGGAGCGCTCGTGGGCGTTTGGGGGGCCGTCGTGGGGCCCTCTTGGGGCCCTCTTGGAGCTCTCTTGGGGCCCTTCTGGGGGCTCTCTTGGAAACCCTGGAGGCCCTCCTGGGGCCATCTTGGAGGTTCTCGATCAAATGATGGGGGATCCTTATATCCGTCCCCCTTCTGGGGCCCTCAAAACCGTCTTTTGGTGCGTTCTTGGGGCCCTCTTTGGGCGCAATGGGCGTTGTTGGGGCCGTCTTGGGGGCTTCTTGGGCCCTTCCTGGGCTTTCTTGGGCCATCATGGCGCCATCTTGAGACCTCAGAAGCACATCGGAAGCGAAAAGGCGAGAAGGAACACATCGCTGATTGTTTTAAGGTTGTTTGAAGGACTTTTGGTTTTCGGTGAGGTCCTGAGTGGTCCTTGGGGGCACCTGGAACCGTCGTGTAGCCCTTGTGGGGCCTCTTGGAGGCATGTCGAAAGCTGCCTTGAAGCATCTTCGGTTGGCTTGAGCCGTCTTGGAGGCCATCTTGGAGCATCGGGGTTCTAAATTGAGCTGGGGTACATAGGGAACGGAAGCGAACGTGTGCCCGCCGCCGCGTGGCTCAAGCGGCCGACCGCCCAGATCTGACTACACTTCAGCGCGAGTTGTACTATTTGCCATCGATACCCAAATACTGCTTGAGATGGTTTGCCCCCTACTACTGGGACGATCGCTACTGCGGTACAGCAGAACGGGAGCTGGGCTTCGCCGAAGGCGAAGCTGTTGGTTGGGTCTCCCAATCCCATTCAAACTTGGTAGCGGAGCTATGGTGGTCAGCTCTAGCCTTAATCCTCACCATCCACGGCACTATCTGGTGGACTGCAGACATGGAGGAATGTATATAACTACGCAGCATAGCAAGGACACTCGCAGCGAGACCTCTGCTTACGCGGAAGCCTCTTACTTACGTCCTACATCCCTGCGCTACTACACTCCTGAAGTCCACCCAACTACTCCAATTGGAAACTTCGTCGAAGACGTAATGCATGGAAGCATGCGATAGGATGCGGTGCCGCCTCCACCCCCACACAGGCTCACGACCACACGTCGGGAACCCCAACCGACTACATCCGACTACGACCTGCGAGGCCATTGGATTGGTGTTACGACCTTTGGGCTCATATGGGTCGCTACCGGGCGCGCGGTAGGACATATGCGTGGCGGAGACGACGCAAGAACGACCGGCCCCCATTGGGACCCAGACGGTCAGGTGCCTTTCCACGAATTCGCCCGCGAGGTACATGCGTGGATCAACGTGGCCACAGGCAACAGGACGCCCTCCCAGCAAGCTGCAGTCCTGCAGCGAGGTTTGGGGGGTCTCGCACGGACCATAGCCGCGGGAGTCCCCCCAGCAGTTATCAATTTTGGCGGTAACATAGGTGGCCGCCATACCGACGGCGCCACCTACAGCATGTTCTTCTTAAGCACGAAGTTAGAGAATTTAGAAGAGGAGCGCCAATTCAACTCTGGTACAGCTCTCATTGACTTCCGAATCCATGCGGGGGAACGAATCGACCAGACGTTAGCACGCTTCGATATAGCCCGCTACGAAGCTGAAACGGCAGGCAGCAACATCCCCAAGTTTCAAATCTTATCAGTTATTTTGTACAGGGCTTTTAGAGTGGGGGCATCGCGCGCACAGCAACTCCTGCAGCCACTAAACCACCACATACCGAGAGACCAGCAACAGTTTGACGCCCCACTTGAACGCACGAGGTCACATGCACACGTTGCTGAGAGAACCCCGGCAATATTGGTGGCATTTTCAGTCACGTCATCGAACCGAGATCTTCCACGCTGAGGCAAACGCAGGGCGGCCTCAAATTACGTCTGGAGCGACGATCCACAACCAATGGAGACCACTACGCTACTGGCTCAGAACGGTGGATCGGCCTCGGGGTCGCAAGACCCCTGGGCCAGGTTCCGGGGGCCACCCGACGCGGCGCCCCCCGCGCAGGCCACGACCATATTGGGCTCAGCGGGGCAACCCGCCGAGTCTGACATCGACTCCGCTACGGACACCGATGCGTCTTCGGACGTCGAGGCCGCAGCCCTTGACTATTCCGATATGCCTACGTACCTCACGGAAGAGCAACAGGCGCAATGGTTATTCTTGGGGCTAGAAACAGAAGCGCAGATGGCGATTCATGAAGAAGCCAGTCCGCAAGGTAAGGCGCACCGTCCGACGAGCGCGCAAGGGGCAAGACAAGGGTCGAGGCAAGGGTAAAGGTAAGCGTCGGCGATTGCATGGTAGAGCCATATCAGCATTCCTAGCATCCCCTACCGGGCCACAATCTGAAGACATACTTTTAGGCGCAGGCAGGAATCGCAGGCACACATCAGGGAAAGGTAAGGGACGTCGGGGAAAGCCGCAGGATGCCAATGGCAAAACTATGGAGTGCGACATATGCCATTGCAGGCATCACTTTCGCCGCGAATGCCCTCAGGGCGATGGCAGAGTCAGTGGTCCGTCGATGCATTTGGCTCAAACTGATTCAGATATACAGTGCGTTGACTGGGGGTCACTTTTAGCCGACCCTGCCGATAGCTCAGTTGCAGTTGTCAGCTGCACGGCTGCCAGATATTTGAGCGCCAGTATGTCCCTCGAGAATTGCGCCGACGAGCTGTTCGAGGAGGCATTCACTGGCTGGGCAGATCCATCGCGGGGCAACCTGCAAATATTGAGTTCGTCGAGAACTTCCATATGCCCGCCGAAGGAGATGCCGAAATGGCGGGGGCACCCGTGAATTCAGAAGCCACTATTCCCGCAACAGAAGAGG